AAGGACATTCAGAAAGTCAGGTCTTTGCTGGATTTTTCTTATTTCTTAAAGACGTGATTTTCATCTGCTGGATATAGTTTTTTTTTTTTTAGTCCTCCCACTTCTTCTTTGGGCCTCCAGTTGTGGCTACTTTACCAACTGGACAAGTGGAGGAGGCAAAGAAGTGCCAGGCTTACAAAAAAGATAAAAGATAAAAGTCTTGCCAAATGCAGACTTTCAAGCTTACTTTAACTGAACAAACGCTACTGTTGCTTTTCTCATTTTCCTGGCAAAATGTACAGAAACTAAGGCGTGGCTCAAGACTTTTGCACAGTACTGTAATTCCTTAGCAGGCTGATTAGAACAATGCTAATGTCTTTTTTGCCCTGTGAGAAAAACGACCGGTGTTAGCACAGATTAAATGTCCGATCGTATATGTGAGAAATAAAAAGGTGGATATTTTTGTTTAGCAGCCGGTGTTAAAAATCATTCTACCTGTTCAGCTCCATCCATGACACAAGAATGAGAACAGGCTGGATATTTCTCTCTCAAAGCCAAAGTAAAGCTAAAATAGTGATTAACAATGCTCCACCAAGCAGCTATTCTCCAACAATCAGCACTCTCACCATCCAAAACCTTACTTTAGAAAATGTTGCACTGATGAGATTCATGAAGATTCATGAAGCCACAGAAATAGCCATAAAAAGCAGATCTTTTACTGACTGGATCTAAAATAACTGCATGTTTTTTTTCTTGTTATCTAACAATAGCAGTGATCAGTTGGAGAGGGCACAGAGACAGAGAGGCAGACAGAGTTATTTAGCAGTCATTTGTCCTTGGGAGTGTAATGAATTGTAAAGTGAACTGGCTACGGGCTATAATGCTCTCTCAGTGCAGCTCCCACGCTCATCACTCCACCCGGAGTCTGTCGATAACGTCCCGACACACCACCACATCATTTACGCTGCAGCAGCCAGCACTCAACACTGTGAGCTACACGGCTGCAAACATCTATCCAACCAGCATCAAACTACAGTCCAGCTGCACTAACACCCACAATATTCATCTACCAGTTAAATGAGGTACATAGGTTCATTATTACCCAACTGAATTTTGGTGGAGAGGTGGAGTTTGAGGAAAAAGTCATAAAGATCTGGTTTGGTTTGAGATAATTTTCTTTAAAGTTAGAAAATAAAGTATTGACTTTGGTGGGGATGCCTTGTCTAAGACACTGCTGGTCTCATTTAATATTAAAGCATGTAATGTTTTGTTGTAATACTTCCCCATTCTTTTTCTTTCTGTCAATTCTTTCTTCAAATCATTAGATTTCCTGTATTGAGGTAATTCAAGTGAGATTACTTGCAGATTGTTCCATATTTGTCAGCCATGCTGGACAACCACTGGTTTCTGGGGAAAGATGTGCATTGACTGACTGATTAGCAGCGGCTCCTGGAGGTTTCTGGTTCTCACTGGAAAGAACGTTGCCTGTGGTTTTTCATGGTTGTCAGCAAACAGTCCTTAATTATTAGCCACGTGGTAATAAAACTTGAAAAAGTACAACGAACACTGGAACTGGAGAAGGTTTGCCATCAAAGTAAAAGTTGTGATGACATTGTGACACATCCAAAGTGGCCAATAAGTAAATGTCATGTGGTTAGCGGTCACATGTCTGCAGAACCTCAGCGCTGAGTTGAGTTAGCTGGCTAAACTGCCCTGTTCTGCTATAACTGTGTAAAGTACATGTTTTTAGGGTGATGGGTCAAATTACTTTCACAAATGCGTTTTAGATAGTTTGAAGTTAATGAAAATCTTCTATTAGTCAGTCAGTATGTCTTTTATATCCTGCGTGGTGACTAGCTCTAGAATTGCTGAAGGTGCTGATACTGCATTTAGGGACTGATAACTTATGCTGTGTACATGTTGACATGATCTCTGTGTTGTGTCCTGGGTCAGCCTTGAGAGCTCCTCCAGGTTGGACATGCCCAAAACCCCTCAAGCTCTGGCTCCTTTTGCAGGAGTACCGGCTCCTCTCAGAGTCCATGGTCCAATGAAATGCCACTTTAGTATGGCGGAAAGGTTTGTGTGCCTGAATGATCCCAGGAGCTGTGTTGTCCTTCAGCACCAGTTTTCTCCTTGTGTGGTCTCCAAAGGTAAAATGGTCCAGGATGAGGGGAAAGAACTATGTGAGATTCAGAAGACCACTTTGAAGAGAACAACAGTAGTCCATGTTACCTTGCCCAGCCAGGGCTCTGGGTTACCAGGGGAACCTCCCTGGAGTTAAGCCTGAGGGTGGAGCTAATTGGTGAGGGCCTTTTGGCCAGGCCTTCATCTGTGTGACTCATTGGTCTCTGTGGGCCAGCCCTCCTATGGGCGTACCACCCTCAGGAGAGCCTGTAGGGATCTGCTGCAATTTGGATAAAGTAGCATTCAGAAATGGAGGCCTTCACAATCCGATTCTCGGTTGTAAAAAGTGGTAATTGGAACATGGAATATTTATATTCAGTGCATGAAATACCTAGATTTTGGACTCTTCAGAGGGGGTGCATCACCATGGCGACGGAGGAAAAGTTGGAAAAACTCATTTTAACCCAAACCATGACTTTCGTTCAAACTTAATCTATTATATTTATTGGCTAAAACTAACCTGGTAGTTTTTAATGATAATAAATATAATATACATGGTGAGTCTCAATTATAGGTATTTTTGTTTTACATTTTGTTGCAGTCCGTTCAGATATCAGCATCAAAAAGTTGCAAAAAGACTGCTGAGATTAAACAGTGTTACGATCATGTGGTATTTTGCAAAAACATCACTTGTTTAATATCAGACAAGCATAAAGGCTCACTTCCTCTGTGCTTCACGTTTTTGTCATGTGTTATTGCCTGTCCCCACACTGACGGTGAACAGTCAGAGACAGCAGGTGATGCGATGAGAGCTGAGATGAGATCAAATTTTAATGATCCCTGTGGGCAAATTGCATCTTTTGTTGCAGGAGCTGAGGAGAAAACACAGCATCCTTGGTTTGTTACAAAGGACGCACAGATTAAAGTCTTTGTTTTTTGGGTTTCACTTGCAGGAAGGCGCCAAGACGAATGTCTGCAGGATGAAGAAGTGATTTAGGGAATCTGCACACTTAATGCTGAACACTTTCAGCCAAACTGGCCTTAAAGGCTCAATTCACATTCATATCAGTGGAAATGTTTCTTAGCTGTTATGCTCACACTCAGAAATCCATATAATGATTTTACACCACATTTATGTTAGCACTTGTAATTTTGGCAAACTATGAAGCAAGCTTTCTGTATTATTTTCAACACCTCTTTATTTATTTATTTTTTTAAAGAAACTCTTTCCTTTCCTTATTTCTAGTTTATTCAGTCATGTGTATTAAATTATTTATATGTCTAATGTAAAGCCCTATATGACATAAATAATTAAACAGATTTGTTTAGAAGGAACAATTAAATCTTGTAAAGCCTTATATTTCAAATTTTGGTTGGAATAGATCTCACTATATTCTGGTTGTGTCGCCAGTAGATCAGGCTGTCAGTTAAGTTAACAATAAAAATTTAATTTGAATATGAAGGACTTTTTCATGGTGGTGTCTTTAAAACTGGACAAGATGTGCCACGGAAGGCCGTGTAACATGACAGAAAGTCCCAGAACAGACAGACTCCTTCCCAATGTCAATAATGACCTTTAAGCCTTGCACTGCACAAGTACAGCACAGTCTTTACAATTTCAGAATTAATTTATCACAGTTTGTGGGAGTAATATACAGACAGACAATACTGCAATACCATAAATTCAGGAGGAGACATGTCATACATGTTCTTGGTGACATCTTTAAAATATATTTAAAAAAATTAGATAAGAAAACAACATAAATATAATCTTTATGCCAGAAGCTGGGAAAAGCAAATAACGGTACAGCAGCCAAAACACGAAAGAAAATCTATAATTTAAAAAAAAGCTTAAATGAAGCAGGATATGACAAAACCAAAAATCTGAAGAAGGTAAATAAGTGACATGCAAAGCAAAAATGTTTATTTATTATAATAAGAGCTCAATAAGTAGTTATGAGATTAAAGAAAATAAGACAGTTGGTAAAAAAAAAAAACTCTAATTTGGCTCCATAAAGTAAAATGGCTCAACAAATTTAATCAAATATCATATAAACAGCTCAATATAGTAAAGTAAGGAGCTTAACGAGTAAAAATCAAAATAAAATATCTCAATAGGCCATGCAAAAAGATTAGTGTAATTCAATAACATTTAAAGTAAAATGCTATAAATTATCATTTAAAAAGAACTAAAGCTAAATAGAGTAAAACAGCTCATTAAATACAATTAAATATTATATAAAGAACTGAATATATAATATTAAGAAGCCCACTAGCGCGATCATTTTAAAACAATTGTATGATATACAGCAAAATGCTATGTAAAAGCTGAGTATCACAACGTAAGAAGATCAAAACGTGGAAATCAGACTAAAATACAGTAAAATGTGGTGTATAAAGTTCATTGAGTAAAATATCTCAATAACTTTAATAAAAGAAAATAAATAAATAGATAATTAAAATAAGCACAGAAAATGGCAGGGGACTGGTCTTTATTTTTTAATCAAAAATGTTAAACTAGTACATAAAAATATGTATGAAGTCTTCTTTAGACCGATATCATAACAGCGGTGATCCCGCCCACAGCTGCAATCATTAACGCTGATTGGCCTGTCTTTCAGTCAACCACGCCCCCACAGTCCTCTCCGTCCCTCTAATTGATCTCTTCCACCGTCAGTCACCCCGTATACGAGTTCGCCTCTCCCCCTCCGCCTCCTCACCCAGCAGGTTGGGTTGAGAGGTCGGCTAGGGGACCGTGGACAGCTCCCGTCCGAGGAGCAGAGCAACACAGGAGGAGGAGAGGGCTGGATATGGGGGAGCCACCGCACAGGCCCGTATGATCGAGATAAAACACTTTTTACAAAGAGAGCGAGCTGGAGAGGCCTTAAGGAGGACCGGGGGGGAAACACACCGAGGGAGTGGAGGAAACACGGGGACACGGCTACTGACCCATCCCGGCGCATCACGGGAGAAGCGGCGAGAGAAAGGAGGAGAAGAAGGAGAGATAATTCTGCTCGACCTGATGGACTGAGAGGACAGATGAATGAAGACTGCCTACACTAACGCCTATAGATGCCTGGCCAAGGACCTGGACGCTTACGCCATGAACACGGACATGACAATGGACGGCATCGGCAGCCTGCATGGCGGGGTGGCGGTGAGCTCCGTGGCCCCTGATGCGGAGCTGATGAGCGGCCACAGCCCGCACCACGGCCGCGGAGGCTCGTCGGGACCCGGAGCGGCGGCTGCGGCTGCGGCGGCGTCCACCCTGCGGATACACCAGGACCTGGCTGCCGCCGCCGCCGCGTCCTCCCGCTCGGCCATGGTGTCCGGCATGGCCACGATTCTTGACGGCAGCGGGGAGTACCGGCCGGAGCTGTCCCTGCCGCTGCACCACGCCATGAGCGTTCCCTGCGACACCTCCTCTCCCGGGATGGGGATGAGCGGCACCTACACCACGCTCACCCCGCTGCAGCCGCTGCCCCCCATCTCCACCGTGTCCGACAAGTTCCACCACCACCATCACCACCACCACCACCACCAGCGGCTCTCCGGGAACGTGAGCGGGAGCTTCACCCTGATGCGCGACGAGCGGGGACTGCCGGGGATGAACAACATTTACAGCCCCTACCACAAGGACCACATGTCCGGGATGGGTCAGAACCTCTCCCCGGTGCTGGGCAACGGCCTTGGCTCCATCCACAACACCCAACAGGGTCTCCACAATTACGGCACCACGACGCACGGGAGCCACGACAAGATGCTGAACTTCGACCACACAGCCTCTATGCTGGCCAGAGGGGACCACCACCACCAGCACCGAGGCCTCGGCGCTCCGGCTGGCGGGATGATGCCGCACCTGAACGGAATGCACCACCCGGGACACCCGGTCGTTTCCTCGGCGGGCCACCACCCCCACTCTCACCCCCACCTCCAGTCTCCATCCCACGGGCCCGTGTTGGCTTCTACCCGGGAAAGAACGCCCTCCTCCTCGGGGACGCAGGGGGGGAACAGCTCGGGACAGCTGGAAGAAATCAACACTAAGGAGGTTGCGCAGAGGATCACGGCGGAGCTCAAGAGGTACAGCATCCCCCAGGCCATCTTCGCCCAGAGGGTGCTGTGCCGCTCCCAGGGGACCCTGTCGGACCTGCTGAGGAACCCCAAACCCTGGAGTAAACTAAAGTCAGGCCGGGAGACCTTCAGGAGGATGTGGAAGTGGCTGCAGGAGCCCGAGTTTCAGAGAATGTCCGCGCTCAGACTGGCAGGTAAGAGAGGAAAACAACCTGAGCTGCTCTGCTGCTGCTGCTTTGCTTTGATTTGTTTTTGTGCCACAGCGAGAAGAAAAGGAGAAATCCTCCACATTAAAACAAAATATCCTCAAATGATTCCTCAGCATTTATCACTAGCTGACTTTTAATCTTCTTGCTGGCTTTATTTTGGTTGGTTTCTCTCTCTTTCTCACTCCTCGTGGCTCCTCACGCGCCACTCCAATTTAGGTGAATGGGATTTATTTAGACTCACCGGTGCTATGATTACCATTATTGATCAATAACACAAAAGGATCGATGGGAAATGACAAGGTCATGGGATTTCCCTCCAACAATCCTCCTCTTTCAGTTTCCAGTCCCTCCATGGCAGCGAGGAAAACGCTGCACTAACACAAAAAATCTACTAGTTATTCTGCTTTAAATAACACCCAGATTAATAATAAATATATTTAAAATTCCAAGAAAATAAAACAACAATAAAACCTACTAAACATCGCACAATATTTTTGGTATAATTTGTGGTTGTTAATGTGCATCCGCGGGTGTAAATATATATTCTCAGGGCTGAACATTCTTATAATGCTGGTGTTTTTACTGTCATTAGCTCCTTAAATGCTTATTGCATTGCGATTGCATTAGCATTTGGGTGGAGAAGTGTGATGGGGGCGTTCAGGAGGATCTGTTTTTGATTGTGTGGAGCTTGAAGCGATCAGAAAGCTGTGACATAAACACACGAAGGTCTGCAGAATCGGTGGGTCTGGTGCCCCCTCTAGTGAGGAACCTGTTCCCTGTCCCAGCCTCTATTGTCTGCAGGAGCAGCACTAAAACGGGCCAGTTCCCCCTTTTTAAAGGTCAGGTCATGGAAAGGCTTGCATTTAATTTCACACCAAGATGTGATAAACGTTTAATGTGTCTATTGGGATTTGGTCATCTATATATCACAACAGAGACATTTTCTTTGAATATGTAGTAATTTTAGAGTCTTAAATTATATCAAAGGTTCTTTATTTTCATGTTAAAATGTAAAGCGCAGCACAAGTGACAGCAGTATTTGTATTTACGTGGTTTAGAATACGACTTTAAACTACCCACTGCACGTCCACATCTTAATGCCTGCATACTTCATAGCTTGCTTGCTGGGAGTAAATTATAGCTACACATCATTTCAGCTTTTTTATTAAACTTTTTTTAGTGTCTCCCACGATACGAATATGCCTTTATATTGTTTTTACATGCAAAAACAGAAAAAAACAAAGAGAGGCCAGTTTATTTAAATCACATTAAAAATGATTTTTTTTCATGTTAATCTGAAAAAAAAATGTGTTTTTCATTAGGGCTGCATTTTTTTTTTGCTATAAACTGCATGATTTATGCACTGTGAGTGATTCAAAATTACTTTTTTTTTGCACAGTCATTCACACATATGACTTTTGCTGTTTTTATATAAGTTAAACAAGATCCCATATTGTTAAAATTGTCTTTACTTTCATTATGTCCCATTAAAAGCATAAATGATGAGTGTTTATATTTATTTGGTTTACCATAAGACTTTAAATCGTTAAAATTATTCTCTTTTTGTTTGTTTTAAAAATATATGCCAGGGTTTCTTGTGGCTTCAAAACTCATTTTGAAGTTTTAAATATGCAGATACTGTAAGTACAAATGCTTCGCATATACATAAAGGCAAAAAGTGTGTGTTACCTCACCTGATAGAAATCTTTGTATTTTCCTCTTATTTCTGACCATTGTTAAACAAACATGAATTCAAACTTCAGTAAATTATACCCTGTTAAAAACACAGATTAAAAATGTTTTTCTTTAATCATAAAACTGCTGATTTTCCTTTGGAAGGAAAGCCAAAACTCTGTGCCGAGATATTTTAGGTACAGGAAAGGTGCCTTCACATTTTCTTTATATATGCAAAATTATAACTATTCAAAAGCTGAGAAAACACAAAGACAATCCAAAATATTACAAATTATTACATTTACACTAAGCATACTTTATCGTCATGGTGTCCTGGCTTAAGCGAAACGGTATTTATAGTTACCTGATGTGTGAAGTTTGTAATTATTGCATATTTAAGCTATAACCTGCATATTTTCAGTGGTGCATTCACCCTTGTTGTGTTAAATCTATAAGCTTAATTTATATATGTAGTGTCAGTGCCTCACTCTGTGTAAATATGCTTTTACATTGTTTTTATTTATGCAAAATTCCAAAGAAAACACAAATAAACATGAGATTAAAAAGTAAGAAAGAAGAGGAAATATGAATGAAATGGATGTAAAAACTGTGTGGCAGCCCCAACAAAGATATTATTATTATTATTAGTAGTAGTAGTAGTAGTAGTATTTTACCATTAAACATCAACTTTTTATGTTTCAAGTTTAAATAATAAATAGTTTTCAAAATGCATCAATTTGTATTTTAATTCGTATTTTTAATAAAAAAAACCCCATATACCTTGTTTTTAAATTTGGGAGGCACGTGGCTTTCACTTTCAAATAAAAAGAGTGACATGTGGAGCAGCAAAGTGACAGATTTGTGAAACATTCAGTCACAGGATTTCTGACGAATAGACTTTGTAGAGTTTGGGATACTTGGGAATATTATAATCTTTAAAAGCTTAAAAAAGATTCTCAGGAACAATGTCTGCCTGTATTTTGCTATCCGCTGAAATCCACTTCAGTTTTATTGGTTGACTCAAGTTAATTAATCCCAGCTGCCTTCATAGGAGAAATAATCAGCACCGAATTAGTCTAAATAAAGAAATCTGGTAAATGCTCTGTTTTAGGGGATCACTATCTTTTTCATTTTAATTATGCTCTTGATTTCAGTAGCTCTAAACAAACAAAAGTACATACAAGATACCAGAGAACAAATGCAGATTTACATGGAAGTAGTATTAAATTAAAATCTTTGTATTAAAATGATCATGATAAGGAATTCTTACCTTTTGTATTTTATTTTTTATTCATCATTTCCGTAAATAATCACTGTAAATTGAAAATGTTCATAATAAAAGTAATAAAAACTATAACGTTTTGATAAGTTGCACATTTACATGCTTCATTATGAGTTTGTAAAATCTCCCACACAGACTAATGAACCCTCTAAAACCTGCATGATTATAAGCGCATACAGTGACACTAAGATGATAGCATACAGCATTCAAATAATCATTTTATACATTTCTTTAAGTCACAGATAAATATATTAAATCATTTTCACCGGCTTAATGTGTTTATAGATTAGTACATTTTTAAATGTTATATCTAGCTGCTTTTATAGAGTCGGTGTAATATCCAACAATAAGTCTTCAGCATGGCTGTTTTATGGGTTTTCTTTTGTTTATATACATTTCCAGGACTTTCCATGAATATAGGATATTGATATTGGATTTTGTGGGTGAAATTAAGTAAATTGAAATTGATCCCTTTCACTCCTGGATATGTGCATTTGTCACGTGTGTGCGTCTCTTCAGTTTTTCATTCATTTATTTTTTTTCCTTTTTAATAAACTCTATTTATCCAAAAATATAATAGATATGGTCTAATCTAATAAATATGTTTGTTATCATACAGCGCATATGTCTTTCAATTTATATCATTACAGCTTTCTTATAATACTCATATTATCATAATATTTTAATTAGGTTTAATTATTGTTGCTGTAATGAGATAAGAGATTAAAAAAAAAACACTTTATGTCAAGAAAAAAATCTACCAAATAAGAACACAAATCAAAATAAATGAGGCAAAAATATACAACTGATGAATGATTGGGTCAAATTTGAAATTAAAAATGTATTTATTCATCTATACAATGCAGTCATATAACAAAATATTATTAAAAGATTTATCCAAATAACAAAAACAATTGCACTTGAGAAATTCAAATGAGTACGCAGTTAATTAAAACAAACAGCTTGTTTATTAGTAATATGTCAATGTAAAGGTGTTCCTACATTTTCCTAAAACTATATATCTTCTGTTGTTTTTCCTACTAATAATAACATCGTAACAGCATTTTATGAACTTATGTCCTCTCTTATTTTATCGCTGTGATAACCCTTTTTATACCTTGTGAATGTCAGTGTTTTTGCAGGGTTTTTATTAAGAGTTTAAGAAGATTTTATCTTATTCTTAAACCTTCAGATCTGCCGTGGTTTCATCTGACACATCCTATGATGTACTTTGTAATATGATGCAACCAGTTCAGTATCCTTCTGAGTTTTGCAGAGACAGAAAAGGTCTTGACTATAACAATGCGTGACATCAGCCCAACATGGAGCGCTGATTCTTTAACATTCGATTGGAAATCAGTATTTAAGCAGGCTGGATTTGTCTGTAGATTGCTTATGTGGATGAGATTATCTCTGCAGGATTTGACTGTAATTTCATTAGGGGTTCTTTGATTTTCGATGCTGGTATTTGACGATACAGGTTAATAGAAAATGACAGGAGAGAGTGGGTGAAGGTTGGAGCTGGAAGAGAGCAGGGGAGTGTTCATGTGATCTGTGCTCCCCTGTGTGTTGTAAAATGTCACAGGACAGCCTCACAGTTATACCTCTGTCTGAGTGAGCTGCACTCATCTGCTTTCCCTAGGATTAAACTGCATATCTCACACTCTCGGTCTTTTTTAACTTCAAATCTTTGCAAAGCCTGCAGTTTATTATACCAATGCTAAAGATTCTTCTTATTTAATTCTAAACATTGAGAAATATAATATAATCCTTTTTTTATTTAGGTAGTTAACTAAGTGTACAATGTCTGATTTATAGAGTAAAAGGTAATTAAGTTTTCTGTTTATTAGTGTCTTTGTTGTCTAAAGCAGTTGTCAAAAGCTACACTGGAATTCATGTAATTTAAATGGCTGTATAATGAGAAACCTATGATAACATACTGTCATTTATCTAAACAACTGTAGTATGTGTAAGATACTGCACAACCTTTTACGCAGTATATTACCATAAAGAGTGTGGGAAAATATAC